ACACACACACACACACACACACACACACACACACACACACACACAGTGTCTTATTATGTAGCTCTGGCTGTCCTTTGTACAACAGACTGGCCTCAAAGTCCCAGAGATTCGTCTGCCTCTGCCTCCTGAGTGCTGGGATTACAGGCGTGCACCTCTACGCCTAAAAGTTTTTTAACTTTAAAAATGTCCATATTTGGTGTTTTGCCTTCATGTATGTATGTGTACCATGTGCCTGCCTGGTGCCTACAGAAGCCAAAAGAGGGTGTTGGATGCCCTGATACTGGAGTGACAGACAGTTGTGAGCCACCGTATGTGTGTTGGAATCTGACCCCAGGTCTTGTGTAAGAGCAGAAAATGCTCTTAACAATTGAGCCATCTCTGCAGCCCCTACTTTTTGTTGTTGTTATTCTGACATAGGTATCTGAGACTGGGCCTGACTTTTCAACTTCCTGCCTCCACCTCCTTTGTTCTGGGATTCCAGGTGTGCACCATTCAAAGCTCCCCTTCCTTTCCTTCCCTCCCTCCCTCCCTCCTTCCTTTCTCCTTTCTTTTTGCTCTTTTCCTTTCCTTTCCTTTCCTCCCTCTTCTTATTTTGAGGCAGGTTTTCATTATGCAGCCCTGGTTGGCCTAGAACTCTTTTTTTTTTTTTTTAAGATTTATTTATTTATTATATATACAATGTTCTGTCTGCAGGTACACCTACACATCAGAAGCGACACTAGATCTCATTATAGATGGTTGTGAGCCACCATGTGGTTGCTGGGAATTGAACTCAGGACCTCGGGAAGAGCAGTCATCACTCTTAACCTCTGAGCCATCTCTCCAGCCCCCGGCCTGGAACTCTTATGTAGATCTAGGATTAAAGGTTTAAGTCATCATGCCTCAGTTTTCCTGTTGGGTTACATGCCAGCTTCTGAGTAAGCAGAAGCGTTGGTGCTGGGAGTCTCACAGTCTCCTCAAGCCTTACACTACTGCCCCTTTTCAATTCTATGACTGACAGTGTGTTCTAAACCCATGTCTTCTTTCTGTGACATTCAATGTGTCCTTCCAGTACTAGTGGGCAATATTTATGACAAAACTGGAAACGGTTCTTAGGGAGAGGTGTATATCAAAATCCGGAACAATGAAAATGGTGCTCTAAGGTGCACACCTTTAATCCCAGCACTTGGGAGGTAGAGGCAGGTGGATTTGAGTTGAGGTCAGCCTGGTGGTCTACAGGGAGACAGTCATGAAACCTTGTTTCAGAAAACCAAAACCAAACAAACAAGCCTAAGCCAACCTATTTTTGCAGGGGGAGGAAGCTGGAGAGATGGCTCAGTGTTAAGAGTGCATGTTGCTCTTGCAGGGGACATGAGTTCAGTTCCCAGTATGCACAACGGACTGCTCCTTATGACTCCAGTCCCAGCGATCTGATGGGCTCCTCTGGCCTCTGATGACACACATGGCAAACACACATGTGTACTCACAATAAACAAAGAAACAACAACAACAAAAAAAAATTGGTTTCTGGCTGGTGCTCATTACCAAGTGTGATGACCTGAGTTTGGTCCTAAGACTCTTGGTAGAAACTGACTCCTCCTGACTTCCACACGAACACTGTGAAATACACACACACACACACACACACACACACACACACGTGTAAAAATTTTTTAAAGCATTAATACAAATACTAGTTTTGTTCAAAAGGTGTGAAATATTTTAGAATTACCCTTAAGAAAACCAAATGATAAACAAGATTTGGTGGCCCCATGCCTGTAATACTTGGGAGAACTTGGGAGGCAGAGGCAGAAGGATCTCAAGTTCAAGGCCAGGCTGAAGGTCATAATTCTGTCTCAAAACAACAACCAGGGGCAAGTAAGATAGCTCAGTGGGTAAAGTGCCACCATAACTAATGGCCTGAATTCAATGCCAGGAGCCCACAAAATGAAAGAGAACCAGCTTCCAAAACTTACCCTCTGACTTCCAGATGTGTTGTGGCATATACCTCTTCCTCAACAAAATAAGCAAGTAAAAAGTAATTAAAAACAAAACATTCTCAAGCACACAAAAAAGAAAACGTAATGAGCCCAGACACTATGATCAGGGATAAGGCTGTTAATGTCCAAAATGGCCCTTTTCTTATTTCTGCTTTCAATGTACAGAACAAAATTCCTTTGTGTAACAGAAAGCTCAAGTCCCTGGGGTGGACTGACTATGGAACACGAGCCCAGGGTCTCTCCGGTGCCTCTTCCGCCAGCTAGTGAACTAACCGGGCAGGACAGCAGTGATATACAGCACTGTGACAAAGACAGGAAGCAAGTCTGGAACAGGCCAGACTTGCAGACAAAGGACAGCAGGGAGAGGGCTTTCATCAGCAGCTGTCACAGCCACTGGCTCAGTCTCTGCCCTTCTGTCCTAGTGCAGAGCTGACAGACATCCTGGAAGCTCTCCCACCCAAATGAGTTCATGAAGGAACCTGGTGTTCAGTGATGGACTGCTTTGTTTAATGGATAATCCCAGCAGCCAATCAGACAATGCTGGACACTTCTAGCATCTCCTGGAGCTTTGGACCTACTCCAGTGACTGCTAAAAATGACAAACACACCCATGGCTCCGCTTCCCCAAAGCCCAGAGAAGAATACAGACTGGATTTCAGGTTTTGTGATAGCACAGTGCAACCTGAAGTCTTTGGGGACAATAAGAGCAGCTCAAATTATAGCTCACTGTGGCATTAAAAAAATACAAGAGAAAAATGACCAAAAGAAGGACAAAAAGAAGTGCTAGTAAAGGAAACCAGCTGGAGCCAGCAGCTCTGCCCTAATTCCTTCCTGGGAGTGTGGGCTTTAATTTAGAGCTGGCTCTGTACCCTGACTTCCCTGGTCCTCCTTTTTCTTTGATGACGGCTTCAGCTATTCATGAGCTGGGGAAGTTCGGGTTAAAGCCTCTCATTGTCCGAGTTCTAACTCGGTCAAGAGGAGAGAGAGTAGATCTACCAGACCTTCTAAAAGGGAGTATGAGTATGTCTGGTAAAAAATTTAAAGATCTTCTAATCATCAGGCATAGGCCTGGAGAAGCACAAATAGTTTTCACATCAAAGAGACATGAAGACATCTATATGCACAATAGCTGCTGTAGCCCAGGCTGTGCCACAGAAAGGGCCCAGATTACCCACAGTGCTCTTGT